GCCGAAGAAACGTTACAACTTTGCATGAGAATCTTCAACAAAATTGGAGACGAAATTCATCCTTATGACCTTGACATTGCCAATCGAGTGCCACACGTAACACGTCTGATGGTCGGCCGAGACCGATTGTTTGTAAATTTACTCGGCGCATCGCCCGTGAAAGTGTTATGCCATGCATCCCGTAGAGGAGTAAACAGGATCGTTCCTGCTGATGTTGGTCTCCGAGAAAGCTCATCCTTAGAACATGTTGCTATCTACGATCATCTCTCCCCACGCTTGCAAAGTTTATTATCTGACGCCAAGAAAATAAAGGAAAGATATCTCTTCTCATTTTGCTGGGCCAAGAACTCAACTATCTGGTTGCGGAAAAATGAAAGCTCTCGTCCGATCGCCATTAAAAATTAAAATAACTTGTCCAGTCTCGCAGCTCGCCTAGGATCTTCTGGTAATGTCACTACTCCACAAGAACATTAACAAACAATCTACTAAGGAAAATAAAACACTCCCAAGCGAGCTTCCATATTTTAATTATAGCGATCTGATTTCCGCACATGGCCAATTTAATAATACTCTTGATACTTCTCTTCCTACCAAAATATATCTTCATCGTCTCCCAAGTTATTACAACCTTGACTTATTTTCTCTGAATACATTTATAGATGGAAGTTCTGATTCTAACACTCATTACTCTAATATAAGATGCAAATACTTCTCTCAACATATTTTTTGTTATCAAAAGAGTAAGTTTGCTACTAATCCCTGTCCTGATTCTAATATTTCGTTTAGTGACACAAATATCCTCAACCTACTGTAAAACGTAATTTAGAAAAATTTCAAACATTTATTAGATGAAATAAATTTCCATTATGATATCATAGGCGTAACTGAAACAAGAGTAAAGAGCTCGACTGAGAACTTAGATTTTAATCCTTCGATTTTACATCATAATTTTAAATACATGCCAACACCTTTCAGCTGGAGGTGTAGGCATGTATATTGATGAGCGATTTCATTATCAAAAAATAGAGAGGTGTTCTAATGAAGCCTTCCAGGCACTTTTATTGAATTACATCTTCTCAGAAATGCAAACATAATATGGAGTCTTATATAGGCAACATAATTTCCCGGAGCGTTTTCAGGAACATTTTGATTCAACAATGGAGAAGCTTAGCGCCACTAGGAAACAGATTATTCTCGTGGGTGACTTTAACATAAATCTTCTCCATGTCCATACCAGTACTCACGCCCAAAATTTTTTTTTATGTTTGCAAAGCCTAAACCAATTGACAAACCGACAATTGACAAACCAACAAGAATTCACAACAATTCTTACTCATTAATTGATAACATCTTTATTAACTGTCTAGAATATAGTATCTGTAGTGGTAACAGTTTCGGATCTAACAGACCACTTTTCTCAATTTTGCATACTAAACTCTTCCAATTGTCGAGATCTCTGTGACCAAGGGAAATCTTACTGGTTAACTCATAACTTCTCAAACGACTCAGATACAAAGTTCCTAAGTGAGCTACCTCAAGTTGACTTAATGGTAAAATTTGTAACAAGGCAGCCATAAACAAAGCATTCTCTACATTTCACAATAAACTAAACAAGCTCCTTAATAAGCACGCCCCATTAAAGCCAATTTCGAAACGTCGTCTACAAAAAAAAGCCCTTGATAACAACAGGCACCAGAAGATCAATGAAGATCAAGAATTCACCCTATTATTCTGGTGACAGTAAAACCTACAAAATTTATCGTAACAAAATACTGATGCTCACACGAATAAGTAGAAGGAAGTTTTTCCACACCTGTTTCGAAGATAACTCAAATAACATCATAAAGACCTGGGAAGGTAAGAACAATCTTGTAGGTCGCAAACGTAAAGTTATCAAACATGTCACTTCGCTCAAATGCCTGGGATTTGATCAAATTTCACACAATTCCTCAGAACTTCTTGACATTTTAAATTAGTATTTTTCCTCAATTGGTCATAACCTAGCTTCCAAAATGCCAAACTCGCAGAAGGAATTTTTTATTATCTTCCAAAATCACGTAATGCGGATTCTTTCTTTTTTAATCCAGTAACATACACTGAAATTGAGTGTGAAATTTTGAACATTCCGCCAAACAAGGCTCATGGGTTGCATTCTTTCCCCACTCGCGTCCTGCGATCAGCAAGACTTATTCTTAGCCACCCCCTATCTGTACTAATTAACAAGTCGGTTGAACATGGAATATATCCCTCTAATCTAAGGCTTGCTAAAGTTATCCCAATACACAAAGGTAATGATGAATTTGACCCATCCAACTTACTTTCAGTCTTCAACTGAATCTTGAAAAAATGATGTATACTCGCTTGAAATCATTTCTTGAAAAGTTCAGTATTGTTTATGATTCACAATGAAATTGATTTCGTGAAAAGTGGTCCTCTGAATATGCTATTTTGGAAATTACCAATCAAATTCAAACTAATATGGAAAGAAAGCTGTACACCTGTGGATTATTTCTTGATTTACAAAAAGCTTTTGATACGGTCGACCACTCAATACTTTTAAAGAAACCTGAACATTATGGTATACGAGGGATTATGAATGACTGGATTACCTCCTTTCTTACTAGTCATAAGCAAATAACTGAAATTGGCTCCTAGGAAAGCGACAGTATTATCTGGGGTTCCCCAAGGGTCAGTCCTAGGGCCTCTGCTCTTCCTTGTTTATATGAATGATATTTGTAACAGCTGTAACCGAACGAAGTTTTATCTATTCGCAGACGATATGAATCTTTTATAATTTCTGCAGATAAAAACTAAAAGTCCCTGGAATCTACGGTAAACGATGAGCTCTGTAAGCTTTACGACTGGTTCATAGCTAACAAACTATCTCCAAACGTTAAGAACTCTAATTACATTATTTTTCGACCAAGACAAAGAAATGTCAAATACGAAGTTAATTAAAAATATTCAATCATCATACCAGCTCTTACACGTCTTTGGAACGTAAACGTTAAGTTAAGTATTTAGGCGTGTTTATTGATGAGAAACTCTCCTGGAAACATATTTTACTCATAGCCTCTAAAAATAAGCACAATGATTGGTATTATTACTATGCTAAGACATCTTGTACCACTTAATACTTTACAACATATATACAGGTCGTTGATTCGACCCTATTTATAGTATGGTATAACAGCGTGGGGCCGAGCAGACAAAACTCACAGAAACAAATTCCTACGTCTTCAGAAATATGCCCTTCACCTCGTGTTCTTCTGTGATTATAAAACTCGCGGAGTACCCTTCATTTCTTCCAGTCTACTACCTCTAGATCTTTATTTCAAGTCAGTTGCCATCTTAGTGCATGACGTCTCAAATAACACATCGCCACCTCAAATAAGTCATTTATTTAATTACCAACATAATATTCATTCACATAACACAAGATCATCAACAAGAGGCAACTTTTTTCTTGGATAGATTAGACAAGCAAAACATGTCTTTTTCAAGAAAAGGTGTTAGAATCTGGAATAACCTATCTAATGAATTTCGTCAAATGCTGAAAGCGAAATTTACACACAACATTCACAGCAAGCTCCTTCAGAAACTCTCGGAGGCAGATGAGTATATTGATCTACTGGACTTGAATATGCCTTAAAAATTGAACAAATCTGCGTTCTCCTTACAGCTTCTAATGTAATCTGTTTAACTCTCATGTGAATCTTTGTCCTTCCCATATGTTATATTGGTCAATATTCAATTATCATTATTCTGTTCTCCCTTTTTATTCTCAAATTAGTATTGTAATTATTCTTATTTAATACTTAGTTCTGAAATTAGTATTGTAACTTTTCTTACTTAATTCTTAGTTCTGTAAGCCTATTATAATGTATTGTAAGATTTTAATTGTATTTAGTATTGTAATTGTAATTCCACTTAGTATAATTTGTATGTTAATAGTAAATTTAATGCGTCAAGCCACTGCTCGCCTCGAATAGCTGTAGCTAACTGCGAGCAGTGGTACATCATATTTTGTATGTTGTCAATTTTTCTTGATAATCTGTAATCTTGTGGAGTGATATTTTTTGTTTTATGTGAGCAGCATGATGATTTTGCATGTTGAGGCCAGACTTGCAAAGAAAGTCGGTCATCCTCGTGATCGACGGGGACGTCGACACCATGACAACTAAAAATCACTTGTGTGTTCATAACTACGAGTTTACTGTAGACCCAAGGAAACACTGGTTACTGCTGAAAACTTATCCCGAATTGAACTAACATGGTGAAGAAAGTGTGTGCCGCAATTTGAGAAATTAGCTACTGCACCAAACTCTGTGCGGTCAGTTGGCTGTCAATTCAGACTCAGTTAAAGCACTGCATCCGCTTCAGAGCTGAGAACCTCTTGAACTCAAAAGTTCGCACAGCAATGCAAGGGCATCCCGCCGTTTTGTATCACAACCACAAGTAAGGGAAAGCCCGGTTTTTGAGAATTTCCTTGAAATTGGGGTCTTCCTGCACCTCATTTACCTCGACTGTCAACCAACCGATTTCTCTGATAAAATGGTGAATAGGCAACCCTGTTCTTAGCAAACCTCCTTAGTTACCATAATTTCAGTCACCAAATTCTTGGCTTCGGGTATTGCGCGCTGCATTTCTAATGTTTAGTCGGTTCACTGATCACCTTTTTCGTGACTTGATTGTTAGAACACGAGTGAGGAAGTAAAAGGAGAATGATGCGCAGATAGATATTTCGGATGAGTACGATGAAGGAGAGAACAAATTGACTTTTGATTAAGATGTTGAGTTTTGCATGTTGCTGAAGATAGTAATTCATTTTTGCAGTCATTTATTATGCGCTAGTTTTGTTTTTTTGTTTTGTTTTTTTGTTTTGTTTTGTCTCTTTGTCTGTTTGTTTGTTTTTTTTCATTTTTCCTGGAACTGTGGAATACTTGTTCCCAGTCCTTCGCAACGGTAACCAACTAAAGTTTGTTGCGTGTGTCGTCGGGTTGGACGTGTGTTGGGGTATTTGTATCTGTCTACGGCAATCGTGCATTCTTGTTTCAAAGTTACCGATTGAACAAAATGGCAGATAATATTCGCGGAAATGTTAACAGCGCTAACAATTGTTCTGGACTGGAGCCAGGGAGGACTCGAAATGAGGAAAGTATTCGAGGTAGGATGATCTTGATTTGTAAGCTTCCTCTAAAATTGAATGCAAGGAAACAGGTTCCGTAGAACTGTTGTATGTGATTAAGATCGAGGAGGATTTCATGCAGCACTTAACTCCTGAGACAGATGTTCTTGACACGAGAATTACAATGTCTTCATACTTTTAGATACTTCTCGAGATACTTTTCGTCCCCGACAATACCTTTTCGGGGCTGTTATGATAATTGATTCATTTCGAGTTCGACACACAACCTTCGGAATCAAGCATCAAGTACGATGAACAAATTCAAGTCATCATACGGGAGATAGGCCTACGAAAGGCTACTGGGCGCCGAAAACATTTTGACTTTCTGCCATGACTCTGTGGTAAACCGAGAAGCAACTCTTATTAAGTACGGATTCTATAAAGAATATTTGAATCGCTTGACGGTTGGAAACATTTAGCATGGACGCTCGAATTTGAGACTGACATATACGCTCGAACTGTGTATCAAGATAGTGCAATGTATTGTGTTGAATCGCAAATGTTATGCTTTGTTTTTAGAAATGAAGCATTCACTCCAGCTTTGCAAGCTTTTTGAGAAATCAATTGCCTTATCAGAGGGGTCTGTTACGTAGTGAACTTCCTTTATTACCTTCAGGAATTAGTCATATGTTCCCGCGGCAGAGGATTAGACATCCTCAGGCGAGCAGAGAGGCATTTTGTCTGCGCATGCGCGAGCGGAATTAGTTTGTCGCGTTCGCCGCCATTTGTAGAGTTTTCGACGCGTTTCTGCGAGGTTTCACTGGACGATTGACACCTTTTTGTAATATTTTGTGAATATGGATGAAGGAGTATGACAAGTTCACCAACATTTCTAACTCTGTGGATACTCATGGTGTTTGCTGGCTCTTCGGTTGAGGATATTTTAATGATCAAAGTGCGAACAAAACGCGAAAAAAGCCCGAAAACTTGAAGTTTGAGATTTGAGTTACTGAAGATCAATATGTACACATGAGACAACAAACCTTGAAGGTTAGTCTTAAGATGTTGATGTTTTATTTTTGTGAATCACAAAGTTGTCTGTGGAGACGATCGTGAGATATTTGATCCGAGGAAAGATAGAAATTTAGAGTTTGATATTATTTTACTTCAACTTCGAAGTAAAATTGCGTTAAGTTTGAGGTGGCCCCCAAGCATCAAATCACTTTAAATAACATCGTCTTTTCCTTCTCTTTACAGTCATATAGGACACAAGGCTTTAAAAAATGTTCCAGCTTCAGGATTAAGTTGCTCTAACTACAACCCTCGGCGAATTATTTTTCGGGAGGTTTTGGTGGATTTTTCAAGTCATGACCCAAAACCGTCTTTGGCCTTTTTGCTCTCTAAGTCTGTTGAATATGGTGGGTAGGCATGTGTCTTAACAACGGTTATGGTCTTACCTCAATCAACTACGGTTTTGGCTTATTTTTTTACTGTGTTTTGGCGGTAATTTTTATTATTGCCTTTTCGAGCTTCATGTGCTAACTAGAGGAAAAACTTCGGTAAAACTTATTTATCAATTGGCCCCCAAATCCCTTTCTATTGTCAGTTCATTGTTTATTTATCTAGCTTTCGGTCTAACTAGTCCATTAACCTCAAAAAAATGCGTGGGCTTTGTCTCATGAGTAAAACTGGTGCCCTTTTCTTCATGTTCATGTGTTATTCGAAACGAATGGCGTCAGCTGTATTCTGTCCTGTTCATTTCAGTAGAATGCTTTGCCTTGCGAAATGAATGTTGAGTCGAAGTGCACTATGAATTTCAAACCAGTTGAGTTATATTTCACTTTGCTGTATGTGTCGTGATCATGAAATTCTTATTT